TTTCCCTCCAATATTGCAGTAATATTAATGATTATGACAAATTACATGAAAGCAGAGAATTATTTGCAAATAGTGAGCATCTCGATTCAAATAGAAATAAGAATACTTGCGTAGAAGTGATATCTAATTAACAGATATCGATAAATTTTGAAAAAAGATTATAAGATCACTCATTTAAAGTGAAAAAGAAATTAATTATCAGCGCGTTGCGTAATTCTGTATTTATTTAAAGTATTAATTTCAAGTTTATCAGTAAAATTGTCAATTCTATAAAAGTAATATTTTCTGAAAATATATTTTCATAAAATACAAAAAATCAGGAATATCTAAAACGCACAGCGGATACGTGAGAATAATTTTACATTAATATGCAAAAAATTGAAGCATTAATCATTTCATGAAAACGGCAGTCTATCGTTAATGCAATTTTATTTTAAGATTGGGCAGAACCAAAACGGGGAAGACTGACAAATACTGAAAACACAATGTAATACGGTGACACGTGTACAAATAACGCGTTTCGCTTTCGCGCACACGTCGCGACAACGGTCATTCGTTATTCCAGCGAGTTAATTTCGATCAATCGCAGCCGCACAGTAGACGACTGATTCTCGCTGAGGATAACAGACCTGTTAGTCCCGTGTTAAGATTACAAGAATGGTAGAAGAAAAAGAAGAAGCAGAAGAGCGAGGAAAGAGAAGGACGAGACACGATCCATTAGTAGGCACGTCAATTCACCTCTTAAGAAGCGACTTAAAGCCGCTTCCACCTATCTCTCCTTCCCCATTTTTCTCTCTTTTTCTCTTATTCTCATGCTCGTCGTTCCTCCGCTCTCCTTCATACTTATTAGTGGCTGTTGGCCCTTGTGCTTCTTCTTTCTTCCCGCGCGCGCGCGCGCGCGCACGGTATCATAATTAATGATAATTCGATTAGCGGGGACAAGATTGGGTCTCGGCTAAGCAACGTCCGTCTTTTTCTTGCTACATTTCTCTCGCGGTTGGTTTCCCTGGTCTCTCCGTAGTTTCTTTCGAAAACGATTAATGTAAATCCTCTGGAATAAACGCCGACAATTAATCCTTCGTAGAACATATTAGTCTTGACAGGCTTATCTAGCCTTGTTACAGTTTATAATCAGATAAGAAAGACTTTTTTTACACGTTTACTTTTCTGACTTGTGATTTTTTTATTGGCGTTTCCATTCCCAACAGGATTATGTATTGTTTATTTTACGAAATTTAATAAAACCAGTTTTGTAAATAGGAAAGTATGTTCAGAAACGATAAATCTCTCTCTTTTATACACCGTGATAATTATTAAATGACTTTCTTTACATGTTATATAAGAAAATCAAGAATTAATTTGAATAATTGCTTTGCTTTTACCGAAACACGAGTGATCGATTGAGATATGACTTTGCGATCCCCCGATATATTAAATTGCGTGTTATATACGTATATGTATAAATTTTATTAGTGGCAAAAATTGATTAATTATATATTTTACTGAATTTCTAATGAAAAAACTTACAGTCTATTATTTCAGACAGAAATAAATTTAAAAATTTAATTAATTAGCTTTATATTAAAGCTTTTTACATATTAATTAATAATAGTTTAATGTATAATTATATATAATTTTACTATACAGCTATGTAGGTGTATAATACATTGTGACCGATAGATATCTTTTCTTGCATGGAGTACAATTTTATTAAATCTATAGAATTAAATAATAGAAAATTTATAACAATTTTGCTATAATTTAATCTTTTATGGCTAGATGCAAGAATAAGATTCCAATCATATTAATTATGTTTTAATGTTGTTTTCATACTTAAATTTCTTGAACCAAATGACTTGCAAACGAAGTTTGCGACCGATGCACTGATTACAATCAATTTCAATACAAAAGGCAAAGGCATTATATGATATTATTACAAATCGTGCTAATTATACATGAAACCAATTGATAAAATACTCAGTTGACAAATAAACATTGCAGTAATATTGATTCGCAACGATGCATGCTTTTTGATGTCGAAAATTCTAATGATGCTAATTCATATCACTACATTCGCTGATATTCGATAGCTGTTTGCCGATTTTTTTCGGTCGTGCCCACCAATAATGGTAGCGCCGGCACAAAATTGTTTTGTCGATTCCGACCCTTCCGCCGAAAGTGTTGCGTCGATAACTCGCGCTTTCACCCCGGTGTGTGCGCGCACTTTCAGAATGACACGAACGACAGTTCGCGGGCAGCATAGGCGAGCCGAGACGAAAGTGTCTCGAAACAGGAATTATCGGATATATGTTTCATTGAGCGGTCATGTATAATCGACCGCTGCCGATCGTTTGATTCCGATCACTCGTTTTGATTTCGGCGACGAATTAGCGCGCGCTCGCCTAAATTCGGAGAACGAGATCGAGCCGCGATACTAACGATTTTCCAATTACCAAGTACGCTAACGCTACCGACGAGTCTTCCACGCCGGACGCCCACACGTGCGTCAGACGGATCAGTTTCTCGCAGAAAATTAATGTTGAGATCTATTCTTAGAAAATAATTGGATCGTAAACAATACATTAGCCATTTTCTAACATTTATTTTAATAAAACAAGATCATAACGTTATAATTATATTTCTGAAATGTTAAGCTTATATCTGGAACTCACATATTTATGATATTTTACTAAATTCGTTCTTTTTCTATATCATTTATATATTTAAAATCCATAAAAATTTCAAGTCTAAAAGAATTCATGAGTTATCCCATCATAGTTTAAAAGGTCACATAAATTTCTGTAATTATATTTTAGTTTTTAATTGAATTATTTTATTTAAAAAATATATATATATTTGTCCGCAGGATGTAACTATTTTAATGTTGAACAAAATGATAATGAGAATTTATAAGATTTCATTACATTTATGGATTGCATTTAAATGTTTTAATTATTAATCAAAATAATTAATACTATCTGTGGCGTTGATTTCGCAAACATATAATTCATTAATCATCGATGTGTGGATCATAAATGTATGGTGAAGTAAAGAGAAGAGAAAGAGAGAGAGGAGACTGAATTGTTTCTGCATAATGAAATAAAGTAGCGTTGTTGTTAGAATAAATTTCAATCAGGTGTGGAGGTGCAGAGTGGCTTAAACACTCGAATGCATTAATGTCTCATGAGAGTGAAAAATAGCACGGTAATCAATTGATTTTATCAATATATTTAGGTTAGATGCGAGAAATCACGCAAGGAATATTGCTATTATCTAGATCTGTATATTTATCTTTATCATTAACGTGTTATTTCATCGGACCATAATACCTCATTAAATATATACCATGCAAAGTGCTATATTATGATAGCGTAAAAATAGTTCAAGCTGCAAAGAAAAAATTTTATTTTGCAATAGAAAAATTGACACGAGTGACGTGATTAAATAAATAATGCAATAATTTTTTAATGTAAAATTAATAATTATTATTCTGCAATAATGTTTGGATAATTATATCATTAATTTTTATCACATTATGATGATAATAATTGTCAGTTTTATTATTATATTATTATTGCATTATGCCATTTATTTGAACGTTCTAATTATTTTCTTGACTTTATATTTATTAATTTGTTATGTACATATATTCCTCAGTTGATTTTCTTAAATTTTATTCTCGAAATATATAACTTATAGAGCCGGTCACATATCGACCCAGTACGATTCCAGCGATAATTAATCGAAATTCGATCAAGCTGCATTAATGGCCGTAACGCAGCTGCCAGACAGGATAGCAAAGCTAACTCACCGCGCTTGATCACGTCTGTCCGGCAGGATGCAAGATTCAACGGACGGACATCGGAACGGTTTATGGTCTGCTAATCGAATTAATCCGTAAATACGAAAAAATAATTGGGCCTCGCGGAAAACTACACGCGGCCGTCGGTCGAAATTTAGTTCAGTTCTCTCAATCAATGTTATTAGCAGGCCATTGATTTTTCGTTTCGAGGCAATGATACCACGAGTTTATATCTAAACACTTCCGATTGCAGTTATTTTGCAACATTTAGTCTTCAACGCGCACAAAATTGAGCGATTTGCCACAAGAACTTTTATAATTCAGAAGGAACAACTGATATCTTAAAAATGGATATTTTAATAATTTGATCATGGCTGATAAATTGTAAAACGTATCATAAATTTCTGAGTAACGACGGGGTATTGAAAGGATGATTAACGTGCGCGCGATGACAGAGATTAATAAACCGCAGATAGATAGCAATTAAAAAGATTAATTGGATAGAATAGATGACCGAAGCTGCTTTGTTAATGAGTTTCGAAGAGTAGCATGACTTGTTTTATTATTTGGAAACTAATGCTTCGCATATGAATGGCTTCTGAGAAGATAGTATAGATTGTGACTTCTGTGTGGATCATTCCGACGGCCCGAGAGAGTGATCAAATATTTTGTCGATTTACGTCGCGAGAATTTTGATACTTAGATGCGTAGGAATAAAATTAGATAAACATGTTAAACTCACGAGTGCAATAAAATTTATGTGTTTATTATTCACCGAACTCTGCGTGGCTGATTGACAATCGCAAGCAGCGCGATAATATTCAAACAGATAAGCTTGTGTGATTTACGTAATATCGTAAAAAAAGAACTTTTTTTCTGTGTTAGATCCATCTAATCGCTGAGTTATCTAAACATATGGCAAAATATATATACAGTCTTTATTTTTTTCGTGTCAAATTACGAGATTCTTCTGATATTAAGGTTTTAATATAAATAGCGTTTAATAATTTTAATAGAATTTTGAAATATTAATATTAAATTATTTTAACAGTAGAAAATAAAAAATTGATTAAAAATTTAGCCATATAGCTGTATCAATGCGACGCTCATGAGAAATTAAGATCATATCGAAGAGGGTATAAAAATATAATTTTAAATGCTAAATATTGCTAATAAGATTACACGAAGAAATTAGTACCAGTATTTTCTTGTGTGTCGCGACTAGTATCCTCCATTTCCTGATGAGTTCTTTTATGGCTAGCCAGTCCGAGGATCGCATCAATGCTGTGCCTTGGAGTGCTACTCGCTGGTTTTGGTAAAACGATGTCTTGACTGTTTTGAGAGGCTGTATCGACGAGCTGTTGAGAATCCATTGTCAAAAACTCGTTCGGAAGACTCTTCGCAGAGATTGCTTCGAGTTGTATTACCAGCTTCTCTGATTTAAAGCGCGAATGATTATGTAGACGCACTAGAGTTCAATAATCGCGAGGAAAACTGTTTGGCACACGTGTCTTTCACTGTAAAATGCATCTCGAGCAACATCAGGCACTGCTTGAGAATTAATCGGTTTTAGCAATGTTTGTAAAACTGTAAATACCGTTGGACACTTGATTTAAAATGTTAATGTCTATAGATTTAACATTCTTGGTAAAATTATTGAAATGTTTAAACTGTGTCGATTAGAAATTATCCGGTCCAAACAGATCTAACCGCGGAATTAAATTAAATCTTGAATATATGCACTTGAGTATTTGATTTTTAGCGAAAAATTGGACGAAATCTTTATTTAATAAATAGAGTTAAAGCAATATAAATCCCCGTAATCACTCATCACGTCTTCACAAGTCATAGTATGGATCATGGCACTCTTATCAACATTTTTTATTGACACGAAACCGACCGATTTCTTTTAACATAACTCAGTAATAAAAGACGAATATTCTTTCATCGAAAATTATCAAAACGTTCACCACCAGTCTTAATTTATTCCCGCGAGCGATACGTTTTTGCTACCGTTTGCTAACACCAGATCGTCGTCTGAAATCCGAGTCTCTAACGATTCTTGAACTATTTGCATTCACTGCAATCGCCTGCCCAGGGTAGAAAAAAAAGTGAAACCGTTTGCAGAAGGTATCCTTTAATTTCTTGACAGAATGTTCGACTTGGTCCTCGCTCATTCACTTTCGCAGACGCCAGATGGCTAGATGGAATCTTTCCCGTTAAGGTCGAAGCTCTTGAGCGTGCGTCGTGTCAACGAGGACTAGCCGGCCGTCGTCTAACGGGGTGGCCTTTGTTGCAGCTGTACACAACTACCCCCGGAGACTACTCGCCGGTGAAAGAGGTGGTCCGGGCACGAGTTGCACGGGGCGTGGCCCGAGTCAGCGAATCGGCGAGCGCGTTCGTCGGATTTGCGACCAATCGTGGCGGGGATCCAGGAACATGGCGAGGTCAGTGGTGCTCAATTTTGGGTTTAAAGGTAACCCTCTCGCTTGGTGGATGGGGTAGCCGCAGGGATTGAGGAGGACGGACGGACTCCCATGACGCTATACGCGCGTTTTCACCCCACCAAGGTGTACGTGCGAGCGTCACGAGGGTAGTACGTAAGTGTATATACGTATGTGTGTGTATGTGTGTGTCGGCGCTGCGAATGTACGTGTATATGTGAGCGACGTATACAGGGCGAGTGAGCCCGCGCGCACACGCGCACCGCGAAGGGGTGGTTCACCTAAACAGAGGCGGATGGTACACACACGCGGCCGGAGTGGGTTGATTCTTGCGGCGGATTCTGGCATCCCCTGTAATTGCCAGAAATGAGGTAAAGCTTACCGCTTACGCCAAGCCTCCTACGCTTCTGGATGCCCCGCAGATTCGTGGAACTTTGCGCGCTGCTTTTGTCTGCGATGCACCTATGCATCGGTTCGCATTGAGAAGGAATTTTATGATAACGATTTAGTTTTATCAAAAACTGAAACCCGTGGAAATCAATATAATTTTGACAATATATTTTGACAACTTTCTATGTAGATAGGTATACAAAAAATATTATGGATATTTGCAATATCAAAAAATCCGACAATTGGCATAAGATAGATTTTTCCGTGTTTACAGCAACGAGGATTTATCGAGTTTATTAAAGTTTTATCGCTTGTAAGAAAGACTAAAGAATTTACTGCGTTAAAAAATACTTCCGACAATGAAGTATTTATTTCGCGGCTGTTTTACCGCGCTGTATTAACAAATGAAAATATTATTTTTACGTAAACGTCATTGGGAAAATTTAGCGCAATACAACGAAGTGAAGCCTTGTTTATTTTATTGCTTGTAGTCGGAGTATTAGTATATTTATTTAATATCAATTTTATAATCATTTATATTATAACATTGTGCGTATACATACACACAAATTTGACTGTTGAGATGTGCAAACGTTCATAAATTGAAATAAATTGTCTCATATCGTGTATAAAAACGTGTATAAAAACGAATATCATGTTTGTAGAATCGCAATAACCATTGCAGCCAACGATATATAGTCTTGTCAATTTTATCATCTAATATCATAATTATATCACTTAACTCAATTATCAAATTTTTTTAAAGCAATCTCAGACCGCATTCAGTATTGTTGATTATCAACGAAATCGTCTGTACAATAAGACGGATCTTTTATTTCGGTGAAAACAGTTTTATAGCGTTTTAGAGATTTTTTTTTTACTGTTATTTCCTTCCGCAAACCCCCAAAATTAGCTTCGCGACAAAGAGACGAGAAGTGGACGTTTTCCTGTTACCAGAATGGCGGATCCGGGTTGAAAATTGTTTCTTTTTTCGCTGGCGCGCCGGCCGAAAACTGTGCGCACAAAACGAATCCCCGTTTCCCATTCCACGTTCGATTCCGCGTATCGTCGTTACCATTTGGCGTTTTAGCCCGGGGGGAAGTGTACGCCCACAAAACCGCGCCACAAAAGATATCCGCCTGTAGCGAAACAGTAGCTACTCAAAATCGATCCGACTAAATCCAGGCAAATTATACGTTGCGGACGAGAGCTCGCGTTCTTCCGTTATAGAAAAGATCACCGCGCGTTCTCGCTCGCGCGCAGCTTCGCGTCGCGCCGCCGAAAATACAGCACCACTATTGTAATCAAATTGTACGATATGCACTTCGCAAAAAAAATCGAACTTGACACGAGGATGAATCACAATGGTAGGGGTACTGATATTGTATTTATTTATTATTCAAGCGTCTAAAATCGCCCATAACGCTTTTCGTAAGCTTTTCATATAAAAAAAATTCAATAAATTTCAGCTCAGTTAAGAATATTATAACAAAGTTTGTTTCCACTCAGTCAACAGTAGAAACTGAAAAAATTCTTCTTAGTCAAGATTGTTATTATAAATAAGCAATTCTTGAAAAATAAAAACAATAACTTGATTAATATGTATAGAAGGTATCGAAAGATATAAGATAAAAATTGTAACAGAATCGAGATTAATTAATTATAACAATACACTTGAAGGCGATATTCCCACACACTCTTTCGAGCGCGTAAATTTTATTCGCACACGCGTGCGAATATCCCGCGAACAATTTTGGGCAACGCCATTTTCATCGGCTCTCAATCTCCGCTACGAATCTGGTTCGCGGCCCCCGTGGAGCCAGTCAGGCAAACGAGGAAAGCTTTTAGGTCCTGCAGAAATCAGATCATGAGTTGCATTTAACCGGATCCCACTTACCGCGATAAATATCTGACGGAGAAGCGAAGGGTCGACCCGAGTTAGATCGGCGCGTTTATTCCATGCCTTGTTCTGTCTCGGCTCCGTTTTCCCGAGGCACTTAGCTCCAGTTTTAGCTAATTTCCTAGACAGCGATCTTTCAGTGAACTCTTAAGAGCTTCCGAGGTAAAGCCAGGTAGCCATGCCGCGGTTAACGTTTCGAGTTAACCGAAAGACTGACGGCTGACTAACGATTTTTTGAGAAGAAACGGGAGCTATGAGAATTGACACATATAATTTTATGTTATGAAGAAATGTGAACGATTTATCAAAATCTGAAAAGGTTTCTTTTAGATTTTGACAGACGTAATGCAGAAAAATCAAAGTTAAAAAACTAATTATGTATTTCATACTTTAATATTATTGACGTTTTGAAAACATGTTTAATAATATAAAATTATATGTGTTTCAATTTCAATGATTTCGATTCATTTCCAGCATGTATGCTTCTCAGATATAATTTTAATAACAATTTAAATGATAAATATATTAATAAAAATATATAATTTTCCAATCAAAAAGATCATCCACACACACAAAGAAATAAATATATATGAGATTCAGATTTTGCAATGTTTTTCTAAATATATAGTTTAATCTATTTCACTTAAAAAAATTAATAAATTAATGAATTTTTTGTATTTTATTTCTATTTTTGACGTTTGGTTTACAATCTCTTTTTTCTTCTTTTGTAAGTTTTTTGAACGAGAGAACGTAAGAATTTTTAAATATAAATGTAACAATTGAATTAACTAATTATTTGATATTTACAGACCATCAAAAGAATCTTAAGATCTATATGAATACACTACATTTCAGAATAAGGGATATTCGATACCACCTCAAAGCGACGTTTGAAACTGTATAAACTTGCTATTCTCCTTCTATCATCCACGGTTCATCGAAAGCGATTCGACCCGAAATTACCGTAAACTCGGCTTCTGTCCAGAATTCAAATCCAGATTTCCCCATTTAAGTCTTCTCGACTGTCATTGTAGCGTGTTCTTAGATCCGCCATCGGTTTCTATTGGCCGTTCACAATGGCGCGTGTCCGGCCGTCGAAAGGAGCAGCATCGGGGTCTCGAATGTGCGCTTCTTTCGAAGAACTGTTTGCAAATCTGACGTGAGTGCTCGAAGCGACGAGCCATAAAGGGAGGACCGTCTTTGGTGTCCATTCTTGAGTTCTCGCGAGCACAGCTGCCCGCATGGACCCGCGATGACCGAGATAAGTATAATTTCGTTTCGGCGGCCCAAGCATGAAAATCCGCTCCAATTTTCTCTCCTCATTCTGTTCTTCCCCTCTTCTGGGAGCCTCTTCTCGAGGTGCGAATCGAGATAAAGCGCGGTATAAAAGACGGGACTCCGAGGTACAGCTTCGTTTCTGAAGCGTCTTGTGAATCCCGCCGCTGGATTCGCCACGAGACGCTTGTTTGGATCCACAGTAGCCGTCTCGCGTAGCTGTTTTCGCTTCCATTGTAAAGCGGTCAGGCGGATTTCACGACAGGTTTTGGGAAAACTCGCAGCGGGTGGCGCTCTTTGAGGTCGGATCTAAGGATTTCTATCGTCTAATCCGTTGTGTACAACGAGTGCACAAGTGTGGTACTGTGTGAAGGCTTATGTTGTTGGCTCGTGCAGTACCGCTGAAAGAGAAGTGGGACGCTTCGCGAAGCGACGGGACCTATATAATCGAGTCGTCTCGAATAAAATTTACTAACAAACCAAAGAATGTAATGATTAACGCATACGTTAACGAAAAATGTGCGTCGATCGTTCTTTCTTTTCTATTTAATATCTCGCAAAAATACAAATATTTAATCGTACAAATTTTCATCTTACACAATAGAAAGTTTTGATAATTTTGCCTCGTGCAAAAAGCAAAATATTATTGCACGTCATTTTCAACTACGATGAGAACCGCTGGGACTGCATATCCAGAGAGCAAATTACGTTTGCAGCCCACAGGACAGAGTAGCGCATCCCTCTGTCCCTCTCTCCTGCAGAGAGCATTTGCTCCGTCTAACCTTCACATTCGTGTCTCTTTTTCTCTCTCCCCCCCTTCCCCTCTCTGTTTCTCTCTCTCTCTCCTCCTCTCCTCTCTTCTCTCTCTCTCTCTTTCTCTCTCTTTCTCTTCCTCTCCCCCTCTCTCCTTTCTCTCGCTCTCTCTGTCTCTCTCTCTTCATCTCTCACACTCGTGTAGTGACTTCTCATTTTAGAAGTACCTCACGGCCTTCACAGTCGCGACGAAGATTATCGTTACCATAACGAGATAATTCAATGTGCAATTTAGCGTCGATTATCGTACGTTTTATCAGCTCGCACGTGAATTAATATCTACGAAGCATCGGAGTGCAATTGCAAGGATGGGCTGC